ATAATTATGTCTCTTCAAAAGGGACATAATTGATCTGCAAAATTTTATATGCTAAATAGTTTAGGAACCCATCCTTAGGTATAAGTCTTGTTTCAAGCAATATGTCAGCCTTGTAATAAGTACCTTGAATATTCTTGGTCAGCAATAGAATGGTGAAAATTAAATGGTTCATCTTGTTTCAGATAGTGGTAAAGGATTTATTCCAATAAATTGAGATTGACTTTGGAGAATTTTTATTTATCAGAACAAACTGTTCAAATATTCTTTTTTCTTTCTCTTTATCTTCTTAAAAAAAAAAAATTTTTTTTACCTCTTAGAACCACAAATTTGTGTAGAGATGACAGTCTGAATATAAACTGGCATTGATTTTTTTAAGACCAAGAAACAGTTAAGAAAAAGAATCAACTTCATTACTCCTCACAATTACATCTAGAGAGTTAGATTTGGAAAGTTTAAGATAGTTAATATTATACAATAATAGCTTAATTAACCTATTCTCTTGTAATAAAATAGTTAATAAATAGCTGAACCATGTGGGTGACATGGTAGTCTTGGTATTAAGGATTCAAGAACCATATACAAATCAAAATAACTTGCTGATGGGTGTTCTGCAATACTTACAGTTTAGCTTTAGTATAATATTACAATGTATATTGTAAATTGTATTATTGTCTGATAAGAGGAAAAAAAAAAATTAATTTTATAACTTAAATTCAATATGACATTAGAAAAAAAAACCATAATATTAAATAATATTACTAATTAACATAAAAATATTTTAATTGAGATTATTTATAAATACCAAAAGATTTATATTTAATTTATATTTTTTAGATTAAAATAGATTTTATATACTGTATTATAAAAATATATACTATATTTAAAGTTTATAATAATTAAAAGCAATATGTACTTTATTCATTTAACGAATTTTTTATTACAATAAAATTGTTAATATATTTAATGCTAATAAGTAATCTGAAACTTGGACATAACATTATACCAAATAGCACAGGCATAGACATATAAATATTTGCTCATACTCAATTTTCAAACATTGATTATGCGTATCTAAAAAAAAAAAACTAGACAAAAAAAAGAAATTACAATGCAAAGAATGTAAAATAATGACATCATAAAGGTTCATATGCAAAAAATATTAATGGCATCTCACGATGAAATTTCTCCGATAAATCCGTATTGAAATTTGAATTACGGTTTAATCACGGTTTAAATCATTCAAGATTCTGAGAATTGAAATGAATAGATTGATAAAATCCAGATAAAGCTCAACGGCAGCAATGATGTACTCTTCAGGATTTAGTCGTTTCATGATGACAAACGTGTCATAGACAATGAAGCCACAGAATAGGATTGCGGTGCCAACAGCAATAATTAAGTCGAAGCTCTTACTAAATGGAATAAAAATTCCAACAAGCCCAATAATTACCACAACCCAGAGGCCAACGTATAAACTATAATTGAAAGTTATTTTTAGGTTTGTAAACATTGTTTTTCTAAGTCAAATCAGGATAAACTTACATTGGAAACATCCCACTGAAATCATATTTAGATTGCATAGTAAACAATGTTAATCCAATAAAAACGCCAGTTGTAATGACCAATGCTTGCAATACAACAGCTTGATCAAAGTAAGTAACTGTATGATAGAAAGTATTCATGAATATGGACATCGAGCATATCAGATTATATAAATTACTTATTAAAATTCTTACCAAGATTACCAATACTGTAACTTTCTAAAAGAGTGAAGGCAGCCAAAAGTTGTAGATTGAGAGGATGAGAACGACGTTTCCAAAACAGAGCAAACAGGAGGACGAACGTCAATATGGCAGACAAAATCATTGCCCAAGAACTATGTACAAAAGCTATTTAGTTCCAGATCAAATGAACCTTCTAATTATTTCTAATGAAGAAACAAGAATGTTTTCATACTTGTCATGAACCCAAAATTTGATCTTCTCATTATACATCATGATTCCAGCCACAACGGTTGTCGCCGCAAGTTGCGCAAACAAAATGGAATAAACCTTGCGAACAAAAGCTTTAAAAATCAACAGTTAGCTCATATAAAAATTATTTTGGATAAAATAAGAAACATATATAAGAAAATACCAACCCATACGAACACTGATATCACACTCAAAAACAGTTACTCCATGTTTAAAATCGTCAGGTACGTCCCATTCTCCACCCACAAGAGGTTCGCGTGAGGACGAGGGAGCTTGTGAATACTCGGGTGGTGCTGCGGTATAAGATCCACTCGTATTCTGGTGATGCGCGCCGTACATTTTTACCTTCTAGGAAAACAACCTATACAATAAAACAAAGTTTTAATATTTCTGTAATACTGCATGTGATTTATATATTCGGATTTCAGATCATGTGAATTTATAATTCACCAATAATGTTAGAGTATTAATCACTACTTTTTACTAATAAGTTTTTTTAAATATACTTTTATCCTAAAATATAAGACCCACTGTAATTTAAATATGCAATATATACAGTATATTTACATTATATAAGCTTATACAAAAGATCAAAAATAATTTATTTAGAGATTTTATATGTTTTTATTTAAAATATTAAAATACAATAACTGTTCTATCTGTAACAATTTTGACCTGTAACTGTGCCATGGGATCCATATTGCACCTAGTGATCCGGATGCCCTGGAAGGTATCTGATCTGCCCCTGATGACTTGCAAGTTTGATACACATTCCCAGACAATTGTCAGATGCATGTGTAGGATTCCTAATGATAATATTTTGGTATCAAGTTGGTACTGGATTTACTATAAGTTTAATATAATGGATTATAATCCATATATTAACTTTATTATAAGTTGATACCAAGTTGATACTATACATGTTGCTAAAATTCATAGATCCTTGATACAATTGATACAATTATTTGATGCAATTAATTGAGTCATTATTAAAACATATAAATAATTGAGTCATGACACAATTATTTTTAAGGATTTTGGGAATTGAGTCAACAGCAAAATAA